TCGCTGGGCACACGACCAACTACAAGTGATCACTATGAACTGGCGTATATCGTGCTTACCACAGATTAAATGATCGAGGGCGCTTTTCCTCTGACGGCGTCTGGTCAGGGCGCTCCACACAGCCCACGAAAATGCCTCTGAGTAGCTTATTAAACTCTGCTCGTCGACCAGGACTTGAGACCACAACGTTCCCAGCTCGATTCTACAGCTGGCATGTCTGCATACTTCTCTTCTCTTGGAGATATATCACTAGGGGTTCCTTCCTGACGGGAGCTCAAATGGAGCGCGGCTTTCCCCCTGCGATGTCTGGCACTCAAGTGAGGTCAAAGCCCTCCAGAAGCGAGCCTCACGCCTCCAGCAAAATGTCCACATCTCCTAGCCAGTCATTTATCTGTTTTCTTCTTCACTGCCCATAATCTTAAATTGTTCATACATATCCAACCAGCTATTTTACATATGTGTTATCACCTCTATATTTCTTAGATTTTCTGGTTAGGTCATGCTTGCTGAATAGCTCTCAAGGAGGGAGACTCGTTTCTCCTGTAGGCTGAGATCGTAAGAATATATATATAAGGATGGGAATATGCCCTATATAGATATAACAGTCATGGAAAGGAGCGGAGGTTTCCACACTGCAGTCTACCCTAATAACAAATATAGGAATGTGCCTCAATGCCAACAGCGACTGTCCAGACAGGTACAAGAGAGCTGTGGTTAAGACTTATGTCGACCGTGCTCTCAGCCACAGCTCGGAATGGAAGCAAGTCGATGAAGAACTCTGTAGGGTAAGGCAGGTCCTAGTCAACAACGGCTTCTCCAATGGTTTCGTTGAAGACATCATAAGAAGGAAAGTGAAACGCCATGCAACCTCTGAAGAGACAACTAACACAACACCTGTACCCCCTATTAGACTATTTTACAGGAACTTCTTTTCCACAGCTCATAAAACGGAGGAAAGGGTCCTGAAAGATATTGTTAATAGAAACGTTATCCCTACAGACAAAAATCAGAAGATACAATTGACGATTTACTATAAAACCAAGAAAACGGCCAACCTACTCATGAGAAACTCTCCAGACACAAAGCAGAACGCTTTAAAAGAGACCAATGTCGTCTATGCCTTCAAATGCCCACTTGGGGACTGTAAGCCTCAAAGAACTCAGTATATAGGCAAGACAACAACATCTCTTTCCAGGCGATTAACGATGCATAAGCAACAGGGCTCCATTAAGGAACATATAATCTCTTCCCACAACCAGACCATCACCAGAGAAGTCTTAACAAAAAACACAGAAATCATCGATAGATACAGCGATAGCAGGCGGCTTGATATCTGCGAAGCATTACACATTAAGAAGTCAACACCAGCAATCATCAGCCAATTAATGCACAACTATATTCTACCCACTTCAAGACTCCGCACCAATATAGAAGCATCAAGAAATATGGGCCAATAGGCCCATTGCAGTTACTTCCATTCTTCCCTTTAACTTACCCAATATTATACCCATTGTTTTGTGTTCTGTCTTGTGTAGAAAGTTTGTTTTCACCTCATCCAAAACTATTGTAACATATCACCTCACCCAAATGCAGGTGTAAAATGAAAGCTGTTTAAACTCTGTTCAGTGTTTGCAGGTTATAGTTGTGTGTGTGTAAACTAAAGTCTTTGAAAATGCAATAAGTGATTACGAAACGCGTTTCGAGTAGAGTGTCGCGTCAGACTAGAAATAAAAATGAATTTTGGAGAATTGATTTTTCAATTACCATCGACAGTGAAAAGAAACATAATCGAGAATATTGAGAATTATTAATCTTACGTTTTCGTTATTTAATAATATATTATTAATCTACCACCTACTAATTATATCATATTATATAATAATATATATATATATATATATATACTGCTATATATATATATAAAGATATATATATATATATATATATATATATATATATATATATATATATATATATATATATATATATATATATATATATATATATATATATATATATATTATTATAAATATGACCGAAAAAGTAAGATTAATAATTCTAACACGAATTTTCTCAATCTTTCGTACATTACGCTTCACTGTTGGAGGTAAATCAAAAATCAATTCTCCAAAATTCATTTTTATTTCTAGTCTGACGCGACACGGGCGCGTTTCGTAAAACTTATTACATTTTCAAAGACTTTAGTTCACAAATACACAACTGAATAGAACTTACGTATCTCCGATTTTATATCTACATTTGAGTTGAGGTGGAAGGGGTGATGTGGCATTAACACAAGACAGAACAAAATGTGGTATTAATAGGGTATTAATTTCATCAACACAAGACAGAACAAGAGTATTAATAGGGTATTAATTTCATCAACACAAGACAGAACACGAAACAATGGATATTGAATAGAAGTGTTTGTAGAAAGCCTATTGGTCCATATTTCTTGATGCTTCTATATTGGAGCGGAGTCTTGAGGTGGGTAGAATATAGTTGTGCAATAATTGGCTGTTGATTGCTGGTGTTGACTTCCTGATGTGTAGTGCCTCGCAAACGTCAAGCCGCCTGCTATCGCTGTATCTATCGATGATTTCTGTGTTGTTTACTAGGATTTCTATCTTAGTAAATCCTAGTAAACAACACAGAAATCATCGATAGATACAGCGATAGCAGGCGGCTTGACGTTTGCGAGGCACTACACATCAAGAAGTCAACACCAGCAATCAACAGCCAATTATTGCACAACTATATTCTACCCACCTCAAGACTCCGCTCCAATATAGAAGCATCAAGAAATATGGACCAATAGGCTTTCTACAAACACTTCTATTCAATATCCATTGTTTCGTGTTCTGTCTTGTGTTGATGAAATTAATACCCTATTAATACTCTTGTTCTGTCTTGTGTTGATGAAATTAATACCCTATTAATACCACATTTTGTTCTGTCTTGTGTTAATGCCACATCACCCCTTCCACCTCACTCAAATGTAGATATAAAATCGGAGATACGTGAGTTCTATTCAGTTGTGTATTTGTGAACTAAAGTCTTTGAAAATGTAATAAGTTTTACGAAACGCGCCAGTGTCGCATCAGACTAGAAATAAAAATGAATTTTGGAGAATTGATTTTTGATTTACCTCCAACAGTGAAGCGTAATGTACGAAAGATTGAGAAAATTCGTGTTAGAATTATTAATCTTACTTTTTCGGTCATATTTAATAATATATATATATATATATATATATATATATATATATATATATATATATATATATATATATATATATATGTGTGTGTATATGTGTGTGTATATGTGTGTGTATATATATACTGCAGACGATGAGTTACAATAACGTGGCTGAAATATGTTGACCAAACCACACACTAGAAAATGTAGGGACGACGACGTTTCGATCCCTTTTGGACCATTCTCAAGTCGATTGAAATTAAATTTATCGACGAAACGTCGTCGTCCCTTCACTTTATAGTGTGTTATTTTTTCATCAATATATATGTGTTATTCAAACTTGAATAACCCCCAAGCCAAATGTAACAGAAAAACTCTTCCTCGTGAAAGATTTCGAGCCTTAGGTAGCTTTGCGCTCCAGATGCACTAGTATATCGAGTACTGTGACCACTAAACCGTACCAGACTGTACAAAAGTCATTGGTAGTCGGAGACTATTTACCCAACAACTCGAGAGCACTCACCCTGGCAAGAGATCACAGATAACTTTCATCAAATCAATTCACTATTGAAGAAAACGCAAGCCTCAAATGTGCGACAAACTTGAATAAACCTCAAGCCAAATGTAATGGAAAAACTCTTCCTGTCAATCTGCGGTAATCCAGAGAATTTATAAATACCATGTTGATAAAAAAGTGTAATTTTAAAATTACAGTTGGGGACTTAACAGCTTATGCGAAAATCATCTGTACATATTGACCAGACCACACACTAGAAGGTGAAGGGACGACGACGTTTCGACTTGAGAATGGTGCAGGACGGACCGAAACGTCGTCGTCCCTTCACCTTCTAGTGTGTGGTCTGATCAACTTACTTTAGCCACGTTATTGTGACTCATCGCCTGCATCTGTACATATTCTAAGGAGAACTATCACCACCTTGTGTTCTGGAGCATCCAGTCTAAAGCAAGCACAGATTTTACCTTCTGACTGTCATATATAGACCACAAAGTGATAAAGTCATCCTAGAGTAATCCAGAAATGACCTTCTGATGCAAACTCTGAATGGTAGTTCACTGTGCACCCCATACTCACCCTGCGAGTGGTAGTTCATTATGCACCCCGTACTCACCCTGTGAGTGGTAGTTCATTGTGCACCCCGTACTCACCCTGTGAGTGGTAGTTCACTGTGCGCCCCCATACTCACCCTGCGAGTGGTAGTTTATTGTGCACCCCATACTCACCCTGCGAGTGGTAGTTCATTGTGCACCCCATACTCACCCTGTGAGTGGTAGTTCATTGTGCACCCCATACTCACCCTGCGAGTGGTAGTTCATTGTGCACCCTATACTCACCCTGTGAGTGGTAGTTCATTGTGCACCCCATACTCACCCTGTGAGTGGTAGATATGTTAAAACCATCTTAGAACGCTAAGATATGTTGAGTGTAACTCCATGTGAATAACACATATATATTGATGACCAAATAACACACTATAAAGTGAAGGGACGACGACGTTTCGTCGATAAAGACGTTTCTTCAATAAATAACATTATTGCTATTAACAATAAAGTGATGTTCCATTGTCTGGAACGATGGTAAGGTTGTGACTTTTAACAGCTAAGTGTAGAGTGACTGATGTAATGGTCTAGTGTGTAACTCCATCTTTGTCCAGTTTATATTCTGGTGATTTCGTTACTTCGTCAAATACATGAATTTGAATCTTTCTGAACATTTGATTCATTTGATTTTTTCACTGAGTTTTTCACTAGGAAGCTGCCTGACTCAGCCTACCTTCCCTCACCTGCACGTTCCTGGAGGTAACGAGGCGCCCGCGGTAGTGTAGAGGCGCCATCACCACATGCTCTTCTATAGTAAATTTGTCGTGTTTTCGCCAAGCGTAGTAGCCCCCAATCTGCACTAGTCGACGACAAAAGTTTGGATGGAGGAGGTCCCCATTGAGGCTCTTCCGCTCTACTACGTCCTCCTGTTGAGCAGTGAGAGTATGTCAAGAGGAGGATGGTGGTGCGTGCGGTAATCTCCCGTAAGGAGAGTGTTCAAACAGTCTGAACCTGGAGGTTGTCGTCGTGATAACATCAGTGACCTACCACACAGTCTCAACCACTACCTACACATGAACGCTTGCTTCTCAAGCAAAAAACAAAACAAGAAACACAGTATATAGTGAATTAAACCACTTCACAAATTCTCGCGTAACAGTGACAAGCTTAGATATAATTTAGAAATAAGTTTACCAACCTAATACTGCATATTTAATAATATATATCATAACAATTAGAGCGTTACACAGGGAAAATTTATAGACTTACGCAAAGAGAACAAAATGGATATCAATACCAAAATATAACACATTATGGAGAAAAGTATCTAAGACTGTAGTCATCCTCTAGATTCTTCTATTCTGTTCTGTCTCTCATTCTGTTCATGTTCTCTGTGAGTGCTCACTTCTCTGCTATAGTTCACTTGAAGCTTCTGTAAAGCCTTGTTATAAAATATCTAACCTACACCTTATTCAATATCAGTAATTAAACACAATCATAACAAACTTCATCCCGAAGACCTCCCAAGTATTCCTCCTTTTCTGTGACGGCTAGTTCCCTACCCTTCAGCTCACACTGCTCCTGGGGTAAGTTCCCTACCCTTCAGCTCACACTGCTCCTGGGGTAAGTTCCCTACCCTTCAGCTCACACTGCTCCTGGGGTAAGTTCCCTACCCTTCAGCCCACACTGCTCCTGGGGTAAGTTCCCTACCCTTCAGCTCACACTGCTCCTGGGGTAAGTTCCCTACCCTTCAGCTCACACTGCTCCTGGGGTAAGTTCCCTACCCTTCAGCTCACACTGCTCCTGGGGTAAGTTCCCTACCCTTCAGCTCACACTGCTCCTGGTGTAAGTTCCCTACCCTTCAACTCACACTGCTCCTGGGGTAAGTTCTCTACCCTTCAGCTCACACTGCTCCTGGGGTAAGTTCCCTACCCTTCAGCTCACACTGCTCCTGGGGTAAGTTCTCTACCCTTCAGCTCACACTGCTCCTGGGGTAAGTTCCCTACCCCTCAGCTCACACTGCTCCTGGGGTAAGTTCCCTACCCTTCAGCTCACACTGCTCCTGGGGTAAGTTCCCTACCCTTCAGCTCACACTGCTCCTGGGGTAAGTTCCCTACCCTTCAGCTCACACTGCTCCTGGGGTAAGTTCCCTACCCTTCAGCTCACACTGCTCCTGGGGTAAGTTCTCTACCCTTCAGCTCACACTGCTCCTGGGGTCTACTTTCTTTTCATTCTATTTCCATAATATTGCATTTTTCATGGTTTAACTTCAGTAGCCATGTCTCGTTCGCTTCCATCCTCTTGCATTCCATGAGAGTTTTTCTATGCCTTATCTCTTGTGAATAACATCGAATAATCTGCAAACACGTATATGAACGTCTATGTTCTTTGTCGGATTGTTGAGGTATATGTGTAACAGTACAGGTCCTGACACTGGTGTGGCGCCCAATGGCCTTCCGCTTTCACTTCTCTCCTTTCACTGTGACACTTCCATTCGTCTCCAACAGGTACTCATTTTCTCCATCCTAGTACTTTGCCAGTCAGTCAAGCTCCTCTCTCGAGTTAGTATTGAAGTCTCCTCTGTGGGACTATTTGCCTTCTCATATTCCTGGAAGACACAGTCTGGCTATCCGCCATATTTTCCCGTATTATAGCTGTCATACTGTCATAATAATATAGAAGGTTTGTTTGGCAAGATTTTCCTGAATACTGAATTTGTATCAATACAAAAAATCGTGTTTTTAGATATTATTTCTGACGCTTAATGGAATCCCAACCGAGTGAGAGAGGTGTGTGAAGTCGTCTGTGCTTTGTGAAGGTAACACAAAGAATCAGCTTTAGCAGCTAGCCCTTAGCGAGGGCAGGAGTGTCGTCGCTGACTCAATCTGCATCATTGATGAGAGCTCCTTTATGCCGAAATACATTACCTGTTTGTTTGTTCTTTATCCCTGTAGAGTGTGCAGAGTGTGAATTGGTAGCTGCCAAGCTGAGCCCAACAACATGTAAGTTTGGAATCATTATTGCACTACAAATAACGCACACCAACGCACCGGTATAATGTCCCTGAATTTACCTGAGGTTCACTAACACTAGTGGCTTCGACGAGGACAGGAAGCCGGCGGATTGTCAAAGGTCACCCTATTTGCCCTTATGATTTTTTTCCAGCTGGATTTTAAAATTTAACAGTTTTGGCATTTACGGCTACTGCAGGTATGCAGTTCCATGGGTTTATAGCCCTGTGGGGATAAAACCATCTCCTGTTCTCAGTCCAACATTGTGGCTTGTTGAGCTTGAACCCGTTGCTTCTCGTTCGTGTTACATCTGGCCCGGATCACCATCCTCGTGTTACATCTGGCCCGGATCACCATCCTCCAAACTGTTCAGTATTTTTAAGGTTTCGATTAGATCCGCCGTGTCATGCCTGGCTTGCAGTGTTGTTAGCCCTGTGGTCCTCACCCGTTCCTGGTATGAGAGTTGATTTAGTTCTGGAATGACTTCTGTTGCCCGGTGTTGCCCTTTCTCTGAAGACAAATCCTAAAGTTTTTTCAGTTATATTGAACAAAGATTAGGGAACGGATAGGTCCATTAAAAACTGGGGCAGCTTAGACAACTGATAAGGTTATCTTGAGGTTATCTTGAGATGATTTCGGGGCTTAGTGTCCCCGCGGCCCGGTCCTCAACCAGGCCTCCACCCCCCAGGAAGCAACCCGTGACAGCTGACTAACTCCCAGGTACCTATTTACTGCAAGGTAACAGGGGCGTCAGAGTGAAAGAATTGCACATTGTTTCTCGCCGGCGCCCGGGATCGAACCCGGGATCACAGGATCACGCGCCCAGTGTTCTGTCCGCTCAGCCACCGGCTATTCATAATGATATATAATAATGACATTTTTTTTTTGCAGGGATATTCGTGCGCGGGTCCCAAGTCTTTGTCTGGCCCACTAAATAAAACGTAGGTGAGAGGGACAAAGAGTGGTAAGTAGGGCAAAGAGATGAGTAGTATTATAAACAAATATTTTAACTCTGTATATACTGAAGAAGAACTTAACATTATGCCTTCAACCGAACAAGTCTATATTGGTGGGGAAGAGGACAGGATGATGTTTCGTAATTACCAAGGAGGATGTTATTAAACAAATCTTGAAACTCAAACCAATCATATCCCCAGGGCACGACGAAGCGTTTGCCAGGGTGCTTAAGGAATGCAAAGAGGAGCTTTGCGAGCCATTGACTACCATATTTAATAAATCGTTTGAGTCAGGCAAGTCCAACCGCTTGGGCTGGACGGTAGAGCGACGGTCTCGCTTCATGCAGGTCGGCGTTCAAACCCCGACCGTCCAAGTGGTTGGGCACCATTCCTTTCCCCCGTCCCATCCCAAATCCTTATCCCGATCCCTTCCCAGTGTTATATAGTCGTCATGGCTTGGCGCTTTCCCGACAATTCTCTTCTCTTGAGTCAGGCAGGGTGCCAAAGTCGTGGAAGGTTGCTAATGTGGTACCAATTTTCAAGAAAGGAGACAGATCATTTGGGTCAAATTATAAGCCAATTAGCTGAACGTCTATGGTGGGAAAATTGCTTGAATCGATAATTGCCAAAGTCATTCGTCTTCATCTTGAAAAATATAGTAGAGTGTGTGTGTGTACTCACCTAGTTGTACTCACCCTAGTTGTGTTTGCGGGGGTTGAGCTCTGGCTCTTTGGTCCCGCCTCTCAACCGTCAATCAACAGGTGTACAGATTCCTGAGCCTATCGGGCTCTATCATATCTACACTTGAAATTGTGTATGGAGTCAGCCTCCACCACATCTCTTCCTAATGCATTCCATTTGTCCACCACTCTGACACTAAAAAAGTTCTTTCTAATATCTCTGTGGCTCATTTGGGCACTCAGTTTCCACCTGTGTCCCCTTGTACGTGATCCCCTTGTGTTAAATAGACTGTCTTTATCTACCCTATCAATTCCCTTATGAATCTTGAATGTGGTGATCATGTCCCCCCTAACTCTTCTGTCTTCCAGCGAAGTGAGGTTTAATTCCCATAGTCTCTCCTCGTAGCTTATACCTCTCAGCTCGGGTACTAGTCTGGTGGCAAACCTTTGAACCTTTTCCAGTTTAGTCTTATCCTTGACTAGATATGGACTCCATGCTGGGGCTGCATACTCCAGGATTGGCCTGACATATGTGGTATACAAAGTTCTGAATGATTCTTTACACAAGTTTCTGAATGCCGTTCGTATGTTGGCCAGCCTGGCATATGCCGCTGATGTTATCCGCTTGATATGGGCTGCAAGAGACAGGTCTGGCGTGATATCAACCCCCAAGTCTTTTTCCTTCTCTGACTCCTGAAGAATTTCCTCTCCCAGATGATACCTTGTATCTGGCCTCTTGCTCCTTACACCTATCTTCATTACATTACATTTGGTTGGGTTAAACTCTAACAACCATTTGTTCGACCATTCCTTCAGCTTGTCTAGGTCTTCTTGAAGCCTCAAACAGTCCTCCTCTGTTTTAATCCTTCTCATAATTTTAGCATCGTCTGCAAACATTGAGAGAAATGAATCGATACCCTCTGGGAGATCATTTACATATATCAGAAACAAGATAGGACCGAGTACAGAGCCCTGTGGGACTCCACTGGTGACTTCACGCCAATCGGAGGTCTCACCCCTCACCGTAACTCTCTGCTTCCTATTGCTTAGATACTCCCTTATCCACTGGAGCACCTTACCAGCTACACCGGCCTGTCTCTCCAGTTTATGTACCAGCCTCTTATGCGGTACTGTGTCAAAGGCTTTCCGACAATCCAAGAAAATGCAGTCCGCCCAGCCCTCTCTTTCTTGCTTAATCTTTGTCACCTGATCGTAGAATTCTATCAAGCCTGTAAGGCAAGATTTACCCTCCCTGAACCCATGTTGGCGATTTGTCACGAAGTCCCTTCTCTCCAGA